TCGTTCATCAGCGGGACGAGGACGACGATGATGTTGTTGTGGAAGTTGAAGTGTGGCAGGGCGAGCATCAACTCACACAGGCAACGGATGGCGACCTGAGCGAGGCCGCGGTACGACTGGAACCCCACGGCCTGACTGCGCTTCTTCTTCGTCTGTTTCCAGTCTACAGTTGAGGAGGAGAGAGAGGAGACAAGGACATGAAGAGGAGGAGGAGAGAGAGGAGACGAGGACATGAAGAGGAGGAGGAGAGAGAGGAGACGAGGACATGAAGAGGAGGAGGAGGAGAGAGGAGACGAGGACATGAAGAGGAGGAGGAGAGAGAGGAGACAAGGACATGAAGAGGAGGAGGAGAGAGAGGAGACGAGGACATGAAGAGGAGGAGGAGGAGAGAGGAGACGAGGTCTACCTTTGATGGTCTGCTCCAGGTCCTCCAGGTAGAACTTGAACTGACTGACCAAACCTTCTTCAAACTCTCTGATCTGCTGAGTCTCCTTCTTCACCTGATCAGAAAAAACACAACAAACATCAGCACCGCACGCACGCCCGCCCGCCCGCCCGCCCGCCCGCCCGCCCACACGCCCGCCCGCCCGCCCGCCCGCCCACACGCCCGCACACGTTACCTTGGTGGCCTTCTCTGCGGCAGTCAGGGGGCGGATCTTGAAGGTGGGGGTGATGTCCTTAAAGATCTCCATCAGAGACACCATGACCAGCTTCCTGACCGTCACCGCCACACAGGGGTCCGCCTCCATCAGCATCCCCCGCAGCTCCTTCAGACGCTTTATCTGAACACACACACACACACACACACACACACACACACACACACACACACACACACTATCCATGCATCACTTTTCTTCCCCCTTAATGACCTTGACACAGACATGTTTAAGACCAGCGGGTCGGTCGTACGTTACTGTGGGGTTCTGATATGACGGCTGATCCCAGACGGGCGATCATCAGCTTCCTCTCGTTCATCTTCTCGACTCGGAGCTGCTCCCTCTCCTCCGCTGTCAGCGCCAACAAGCTCTCCGGCTCCTCCTCTGCACCCGGAGGAGACATGACAGAGTTACACATCTACTTACAAAATACTGAATTTTAAACTTCAGTATGATTTTAATAAAAAGGATCAAATATTGATGTTCGGTTACCACAGCACCTGACCTATGAAACAGATGTTTTAAGTCAGCAGAATAACTTTAAAGGAGCAGTATGTAACTCTGACCCCTAGTGTTTAAAATGTGTACTGCAGTCTAAATTCTAAACATCATAGAGAGCTGCCCCCCTCCTCTGTAGAGTGGATGCTCACACAGGTCACCATGTGGTGGACTCTGAAGCTTCAGTGTTTATCCAGCTCTGCATGGGTCTGTAAACCTTTCTGTGTTCTAACCTCTCTCCATTTTTCAAAAGCATCTCCAATATTGATCCTAGTTTGAGCACGTTTCTGCTCGTGGAGCTTATTAGAAACATGCAGAGGCTTTTTAGGTCGGGTACAATCACTTCTATCTGAACCACTTCTCTTGACCGCTTCCATCACTGCAACACCTGCTGACCTGATAACTGCTCTCATATCTGACAAACCGAGGGGCGTCCAAAACGGCCGTGTGGGGGCGTGTCTTAAAACCGCCTACCTTCTCTGGTCCAAACAAATTCAGAGCATTCAGAGAACTCACTGATGTGATGAAACCGTTCTTACCGTGTTCTTCCTCCTGCGGCTCCTCGGCTTCGTCTTCCTCCTCGTCCTCCTCTGGCTTCTTTTTAACGGCTACAAATACAAACAGAAACAACGTTCACTCAGGTAACCAATCGTATTCATCGACGGACCAATCAGTGGATCGATGAAGCCGACATCACCTCTCTCAAAGCTCTGAGGAATCACTCCCGTCTTGTCTTTGATCGGCAGCAGGTGAATCACTTCCTTCTCCTCCGTCCTCGCCAACTTCCTGGGAACCTTCTCGTAGCTGCGAACCACCTCGGAGCTCCGCCTCTTCCCGCTGTGAACTGGCGCGCTGAGAAGCCCCGCCCCCGAAACAGACACACCTTAGTCACTCCTGTTTGTTTTCTACGTTTAAATCTAACAGATGTTCTTAAAAAGGTGCTGTGACGCTGAACATTTTAATGTGTGTGTTAGCGTTCTGGTTACCATGACGACAGGTCTCTTGTGACGAAGGACGCTTGGCGAGCCATGGCGGTCATCTGCTGCAGGTCCTCCTCCTCCATCATGTCTGTGGGCAGCGACTCCAGAAACTCCTCCTCCTCCTCCTCCTCTGTCACAGACATCAACAAGATTCAACCATCAGACAGCTGGGAGGACACTGAGCAGTGCATCATGGGACATGAAGTCCTTTCTTTGACTGGGAAATATCTTTATTCATCAGGTTATCTAACTCACCGGGTCTCTTCTTGTACGTCTCCAGTGGGCGGGGCGTCCGGATGACGGCATCCTTCACCGCCGCTCGCAGCTTCTTGTGCTCTTTGCGCTGCTTCTTGGCGACGTTCTGCTGCTTGAACTGACGGTTCTTCAGTTTGTTCTCCAGCTTCACGTCGCTCGTCTTCAACAGACGGCGGAACGTCGGGCGACGCTTCTTGGACCGAGGCTGGAGGGAAGGGAGGAAAGTGAAGAAAGTTCAGGGCGGAGAACAAAAAAGGAAGCAGGAAATGAGGAGTGCATACTTCTTTCACCTCAAAAATATAGCCCACCTCCGTCCACTACTCTCATTTTCTGCTGCTGAAACACTAATCCCTGCATCCATCACATCCAGACTCCACTATTGCAACAGCATCCTTTACGGCACATCATCCAAAGTCCTTAATAAACTTCAACACATCCAGAACTCTGCTGCACGCCTCCTCACCCACACCCGATCTCTCCCCTGGCTCCCTTACCGATTCAAAATCCTTCTCCTCACACATAAAGCCCTTAACCACCAGGCCCCCTCCTACCTCACGGCTCTCCTTCACCCTCACACTCCTGCACGCAGCCTCCGCCCATCTCCCCCTCTTAGAACCAAGCACCGAAACCTGGGGGGACAGAGCTGCCCCCCCTCCCTCTGGAACTCACTCCCCACACACACAAACACTGCACCGACCGATCAAAACTCACCTCTTCAAACAAGCTTTTAATGTATGACTGTGATGTATTTCCTGTTTGATGATTTGTGTGTAATGTTGTCTGTTAGTCTGTCCTTACTGTGATGTTCTTTATGTTTTGAACTATTGTAGTTATTGTCTTTGAGTTTTTAAAAGCGCTTATAAATAAAATGTATTATTATTATTTATTATACAGTCATGTTGTGACAAAAACACAAGGGGACGTGAATCAGGAGACTCCTCCCACTGCAGACAGCAGACAGCAGCTCTGAGGAAGCGACACAAAGTGTGAAAGATACTCGCAACTCTGCAAGATGGCTCGCAAATATTTGTGTGTTGACAGGAAGGTTTGTGCTCTCTGAGGCGTCCTGGGTTTTCTTGTCAGCACTCGATACTTTGCAGACAAACCCCCCCCCCCCCCCAAAGTCAGGACCCCCCCCCCCCAAAGTCAGGACCCCCCCCCCCAAAGTCAGGACCCCAGTTGGGCCACAGAAAGTGTGTGCACGCGCCTGTCTGATGGCGAACTGAAGAAAACAAACACAAGACTCTGATCTGAAAACTGTGACATGAAGAGGAAATAATCTGAGTCTTCTTCTTCAATAGTTCTTCTGTGAACTCATCGGATCACTGCAGGTGAAGCGGTGAGCTGATGAAGATCACAGACTCCACTCAGAAACCTGTGAATTTAACGGACATGTGGTCTTACCGGAGCCATGGCGGCGGGAGGTGTCCGGGTCTCTGCGGGGGTTCGTCAGCCCTCCTCGGGTCGGTGTGAGTGTGGAAACGGGTCGGTGTGTTTTGGTGTGTTAGAAAGTTGCAGCTTGTTGCCACACGCGTGTTGATCAGAGAACCGGGGTCACATCAGTAACCCGGAAACAGAGCACCGGGGACTTCTCGTGTGATGAGAACACAGCGACACCAGCGGCCGGAAGTAGGATTACACAAACACACGAACCGCGTATGACTGAAAAGTTTTTATTATTATTATTTAATAAATACAGTAAAAGATTATACAGCGTGGATACACATCAGATATAATTTAAAAGCCGGCTGGTTTGTGAGTCATAATTAAAACTGGACAAGAATAAGATAACTGAAAAAATGTGCATGATCTTATTTTGAAAATCATTTCATTAGAAATTCAAAAGAAACAACTCTGGTGTAAAAAGTGACACAATAAACAACCTGTGATGTTTGTTTCATCTGCATAAATAATAATAATAATAAATTAAAAAGACGTCCTGTGGAGTTCAGTCAGTGTTCTCATAGAGCTCTATGGGAGCTGAACTCTGTTAATGTTACAATCATTATAAACACTGTAATAAATAAATTAGGGCTGTGACCAATCACATGTTTAAAATTCCATTATTTCGCATTTAAAAGTAAAAATTGTCAGGCTTTTATTTTGAATGTTGAGAGTACTTTACTTGCTGTGTGCTTTTATTTTGAAATACAGTAAGGCCCTTCTGGTAGATGGAAGGTTAGGACAGGAAGTTAAGCACAGAAACAGGAAGTGGTTAGGGATCCCAAAGTGAGGTCAAACAGCTCAAAGGAACGGTAACAAAGGTCAATGTGTGATGTCATGTGGTCAATGTGTGATGTCATGTGGTCAATGTGTGATGTCATAGGTCAATGTGTGATGTCATCAGGTCAATGTGTGATGTCATAAGGTCAACGTGTGATGTCATGTGGTCAATGTGTGATGTCATCAGGTCAATGTGTGATGTCATAAGGTCAATGTGTGATGTCATTAGTTCAATGTGTGATGTCATAAGGTCAATGTGTGATGTCATCAGGTCAATGTGTGATGTCATCAGGTCAATGTGTGATGTCATCAGGTCAATGTGTGATGTCATCAGGTCAATGTGTGATGTCATCAGGTCAATGTGTGATGTCATAGGTCAATGTGTGATGTCATCAGGTCAATGTGTGATGTCATCAGGTGGATATATAAACAGTCATCAGATGTTTCTCTGTGTTGTTGTGAGTCGTTTTAACTCCGTCACGTCCAGAACGGGAACGTTTAAAAACACGCCGTGTCGTCGATCAGCTGCATGAAGTCAGAACCTGAGACGGGAAAACACAAAGTCAGCTTTGTTTCTGTTTCCCTCCTGCACAGCGATTGGTCGGTCCGTCAGGTGACTCACCTGGCTCCACTTCCTGTTCCCGCTCAGCATGGGCGTGGCCGGGATGCAGGAGAACAGCCTATCAGAGAGGTGCTCTTCATCGGGGAGGCGGGACAGGAACTGGGCTAGAGGAGGGGGGAAAAAGAAGAGATGAGGAAGTCTGAGGGTCGAAGGTTGATTTCCTGTTTCTGTCTTCGTGGCGTTCTGTGACTCTGTGTGGTCGACTCACCGATGCTGATCAGGTCCAGGTGCAGAAGCTCGTCCTGATGCATCCTCAGGATCCCCAGAGCCGTCCTGAACAGGAACTCCTCCCCGTCCCGGAAGAAAACGTCCCACAGTCTGCACGCCACGTCCAGGGGGAGGGGCTTAAGGTAGA